TCCTGGGCCAGGTCACAGGCTAACACCTTATTCAAACAGACATATCCTTGAGACAGGATTTGTGAGGAAAGAGACAATGGGGAGGCTTTTCCAGTTTAACCTTGCAGAGAAACATTTGCTCAGTTTAGGAATCAAAATGGTTCCAGGTTGGCTTTCCTGTGCTGATCTATGTACGTGTGGTTATGAACGTTGCCATATATCTAAGACCATAAAATTCCTATCACATTATCCCCCCTTTGGGGCTAGAATTTTTCTTAAAATTTTTGCCCCACAAATAATAACATCGTATGTTGTAAATGGATGTCTTTGTATAAATATATCATATAAAAATAACACATGTTGCATTTTGCTACTAAATTACTTGTGGCATTCTAATAATAATAATAATAATAATAATAATAATAATAATAATAATAATAATAATTATTATTTATAACCCGCCCATCTGGCTGGGTTTCCCCAGCCACTCTGGGCGGCTTCCAAAAGAATATTAAAATACTGTGATACATCAAACATTAAAAGCTTCCCTAAACAGGGCTGCCTTCAGATGTCTTCTAAAAGTCTGGTAGTTGTTGTTCTCTTTGACATCTGGTGGGAGGGCGTTCCACAGGGAGGGCGCCACTACCGAGAAGGCCCTCTGCCTGGTTCCCTGTAACTTGGCTTCTCGCAGTGAGGGAACCGCCAGAAGGCCCTCGGTGCTGGACCTCAGTGCCCGGGTAGAACGATGGAGGTGGAGACGCTCCTTCAGGTATACTGGACCGAGGCCGTTTAGGGCTTTAAAGGTCAGCACCAACACTTTGAATTGTGCTCGGAAACGTACTGGGAGCCAATGTAGGTCTTTCAAGACCGGTGTTATATGGTCTCGGCGGCCGTTCCCAGTCACCAGTCTGGCTGCTGCATTCTGGATTAGTTGTAGTTTCCGGGTCACCTTCAAAGGTAGCCCCACGTAGAGCGCATTGCAGTAGTCCAAGCGGGAGATAACCAGAGCATGCACCACTCTGGCGAGGCAGTCCGCGGGCAGATAGGGTCTCAGCCTACGTACCAGATGGAGCTGGTACACAGCTGCCCTGGACACGGATTTAACCTGTGCCTCCATGGACAGCTGTGAGTCCAAAATGACTCCCAGGCTGCGCACCTGGTCCTTCAGGGGCACGGTTACCCCATTCAGGACCAGGGAATCCTCCACACCTGCCCGCCTCCTGTCCCCCAGAAACAGTACTTCTGTCTTGTCAGGATTCAATCTCAATCTGTTTGCCGCCATCCATCCTCCAACCGCCTCCAGACACTCACACAGGACCGTCACCGCCTTCACTGGTTCTGATTTGAAAGAAAGGTAGAGCTGGGTATCATCTGCATACTGATGAACACCCAGCCCAAACCCCCTGATGATCTCTCCCAGCGGCTGCATGTAGATGTTGAAAAGCATAGGGGAGAGGACAGAACCCTGAGGCACCCCACAAGTGAGAGCCCAGGGGTCTGAACACTCATCCCCCACCACCACTTTCTGAACACGGCCCAAGAGGAAGGAGCGGAACCACTGTATGACAGTACCCCCAGCTCCCAGCCCCTCAAGACAGTCCAGAAGGATGTTATGGTCGATGGTATCAAATGCCGCTGAGAGATCCAGCAGAACTAGGAAACAGCTCTCACCTTTGTCCCTAGCCCGCCGGAGATCATCAACCAGTGCGACCAAGGCAGTTTCAGTCCCGTGATGAGGCCTGAATCCCGATTGGAAGGGATCCAAATGGTCCGCTTCTTCCAGGCGTGCCTGGAGTTGTTCAGCAACCACTCGCTCAATCACCTTGCCCAAGAATGGAAGATTTGAGACTGGGCGATAGTTGGCCATCGTGGCCGCATCTAAAGATGGTTTTTTAAGAAGCGGTTTAATAACCGCCTCTTTCAACGGGTCTGGGAAGGCTCCCTCACGGAGGGAAGCATTCACCACCCCACGAAGCCCATCGCCCAGCCCTTCCCGGCTAGCTTTTATAACCCAGGATGGGCAAGGATCCAGGAGACAGGTGGTTGGTTTCACTCGTCCAAGCAGCCTGTCCACATCCTCGGAGGTAACAGATTGGAATTGATCCCACGCAATTTGACTAGACAGGACTCTAGCACTCTCCCGCCCTGGCCCTGCTCCCACGGTGGCGTCTACCTCTTCCCGAATCTGAGCGACTTTATCTGCAAAAAACTTTGCAAAATCATTGCAGGAGATCATGTGGCCCGTACTGGGCCCCGATGTAGCAGGTGGTTCCGCTAAATTGCGGACCACCTGAAAAAGTCTCCTGCTGCTGTTTTCTGCAGATGCAATAGAGGCGGCGAAGAAAGCCTTCTTCGCTGTCGCTACCGCCACTTGGTAGGCTCGACACTGAGCTCTAACCTGTGTCCGGTCAGCTTCAGAATAGGTCATCCGCCACCGGCGCTCTAGCCGTCTCAACGATTGTTTCATTGCCCTCAGATCCGTGGAAAACCATGGGGCTGTTCGGGCTCCATGCAATCGGAGAGGGCGCTTCGGAGCCAAACAGTCAATAGCCCTGGTTAACTCCACATTCCAGCGGGCCACCAGGGAATCAGCTGAAAGGCCATCAACATGGGATAAAGCATCCCCTACCACTCTCTGGAAGCCATTTGGATCCATTAAGTGGCGGGGGCGGACCATCCGAATTGGTCCCACCTCCCTGCAGAGGGGAAGGGTCGCGGAGAAGTCAAGTTGCACCAGGAAGTGGTCTGACCATGGCACTTCTTTTGTTTCGCTTTTATTTAGTGTCAGAACACCAACATCCATGGAGGTAAACACCAGGTCCAAGGCATGTCCGCGGCTATGGGTTGGGCCAAAGTTATTCAGGGACAGCCCCATGGAGGCCATGCTTTCCACGAAGTCCCGAGCGGCCCCTTGTAAGGTCGTGTCGGCATGGATATTAAAATCCCCTAGGACAACCAAACTAGGTGTCTCCAGGAGAACATCCGCCACGACCTGAAGCAGCTCGGGCAGGGAATCCTTGGTGCAGCGGGGAGGTCGGTACACCAAAAGGAATCCTGTACTGCCCCTATTGCCCAACTTCCAGAACATGCACTCAGAGAACTGGGTCTTCCTAACAGGACGCCTGGTGCAAACTAATGACTTCCTAAAAATCACTGCAACCCCCCCTCCCCGCCCACAAGGCCTGGGTTGCTGTGCGTAAGAGAAACCCGGTGGACAAGCAGCGGCAAGAACAGGCCCATCTGCTTCATCCAACCAAGTCTCTGTTACACAAGCCAGGTCAAATCCTCCATCCATGATCAAGTCATGGATGGCAGTGGTCTTATGAATCATTGACCTGGCATTGCACAGCAGCACCTTCAGGCTATGTGGGTATCCCTTGCTGATTCTAGTATCCGTCCGGACAGGACCAGACCCGGAGGCAGGGATAGTCCTCAGACAACGACTAAACCTGCCTCCTCTGTAATGACATGGTCTGGTCTTAGCGTAACTCCTCCTCCTACCCGTGATCACTGAGATCGGTTGTCCCAGCGCATCCCCCTCTGTGGAACATACCCCAGCCATTTTGTTGGCTGGGACCCACTCCCCGGCAGCCCTGACCCTTCCCCTTAAGAACAAAATAAGACCTTAAAACAATAAAAACAAAAAACAAACAAACAAAAAAATTCAGAAAACAAAAAGCAATACAAATGAAAAACTATAAAAATTACAAATCCATTAAAATGCAAGACAAATTTCCCCCAACTAAACCACTTTGGGAGAGAACTATTTACCTCAATAGTGTGGTGAGGGAGTACCCTGTTGCAACAGATCAATAAAGATCAAGCTTACTAGCTGCTTTGCTTCTCAATATTCTCTGGTTGCCTCTGTTATTTTCTCCTACCAATAGGGAACCTATGTAAGGACTCTATATGGGCTCTTGGTACCCCATTAAGGGAAAAGGAGCCAGTTTTTTTATTTACAACAGGTACAGTATGTGATGTTAACAGCTATAACTTTATGAACAATGTGATGCGGCAGAATGGCGTGGAGAGACTTTTAAAAATGAGCCAACAGAGATAAGCAGTTTTTATAATGCTTGAAATAGAAATGTTTATACAAGGGTGCTGGAGAATCTTGAAATGTGAAGAGAAAGGGTGGTATGGGATTGTTCATTATGTTTTCTCTTTTTTATGGAAAATTAATAAAATTTATTCTTTATTGAACAATGATTGCACAAACTCTATTGTTACTCCACAGGAAAGGTTAAGTGGCTGAAGGTTATTGATCAGTTGTTGGATTTTTTGATAATACAGTGTTCTTGAGGGTGTTCAAGAGATAGTTTGGGGGGTGGATATAAGTAAAAAAAACTGCTCCTTTTCCCTTATGGGGGTACCCAAGAGCCCATATAGAGTCCTTTCTTCCCCACTTTCTTAACCTGGATGCCTAACCCATATTCACCCAGTGCTTTTCAAGCTGCACCTGGCTCCCGGTGGAGTACAGGGTCAGATTTAAGGTGCTGCTTTTGACCTTTAAAGCCCTTCACGGCCTAGGACCCTCGTACCTACGGGACCGCCTCTCCTGGTATGCCCCACGGAGAGCCTCAAGGTCCATAAAAAACAACACCCTAGTGGTCCCAGGCCCTAAGGAAGTTAGATTGGCTTCAACCAGAGCCAGGGCCTTTTCAACTCTGGCTCCGGCCTGGTGGAACGCTCTGCCTCATGAGACCAGGGCCCTGCAGGATCTGATTTCTTTCCGCAGGGCCTGTAAGACAGAGTTGTTCCACCTGGCCTTTGGCTTGGAGCCAATTTGATTCCCTCCCTCCCTCTCTTTCTTTTTTCTTTTCCTTCTCCTCCTGCAATGAGGCTACATTTTAATATTTTAATGTTCCATTATTTTAATGTTGTATTTTATTTTTGTTTTTAAGTTGTAATCATTCATCTTGTTTTTATTATTGCTTGTAAGCCGCTCTGAGCCCGGCCTTGGCTGGGGAGGGCGGGGTATAAATAAACAATTATTATTATTATTATTATTATTATTATTATTAACCCATCTGACAGCCATTGAGGACATGGAGATGCACATGGTAGACAGACTGACCATTATCCGGCCTTTCTTTCACCACCACTCGGTATCCCCTCGTCAAGCCTAATTCAGTTGCACATTTCTTGCCCGCAGTAATTAAGTGTCCAATAAGAGCTTCATCAGAATCTTGTGCTTGAGATAACAGAGCAATGGGCTTTTTGGGAACTGCTAGGAAATGGGTTGCAGCTTGTGGGGAAATGTCATGGAGTGCAAGGCACTTCTCGTCCTCAAAGAGGATCTTCGCGGGGATCTCTTTGCGTATGATCTTCCCGAAGATGGTGTTCCTGCCCAGCTGCGCTACCTGCGATTTGCTGATCTCGTCGGCCATCGCTCCACAACCCACCCATGTGATGACACATCTGAAGCATGTTGTTCCATTCATGCCATTTCAGAATGTGGTGCTTCCTTGCCTTGTTTCCTTGCCTTGTTATGGTGCTGGGAGCCCAGTACAGATATTTAGAAACCAGGGGCATTTGTATGCTTGTAGTATGAGCTCTTTTGCTCTGGAGGTATGGCTGTTGTCAAGTCTTCACAGTTTAGCACGCAAGCTCAGCAGGCCAACACTTCTGATGTGTTAGTTGGGTATCCCCCGCCTTTGTCCATATCTGGCATAAGCTTTTTTTTTAAAAGGCATTTGATCAGTTTAATGCTTTTTAATGCTTTGATCAGTTTAATGCATTTTGCTTTCATCTTGGTTTTAATGCATCTGTGTGGGGTTTATTGTTAAGTGCTTTGGGTCGCCCTGGGCAAGTTAAAGCGACCAATAAATTCTTTTATTATTATTATTAAATATTAATATAATTAATAATTATGTTGGATTATTTTCCCCATTGCAACAGATCTTTCCTTTCTCCAAAGTATGAGAGGGGAAAAAAAATGAGGGGATCAGATTTCTAAGGAAAGAATCGATCATTAGCGTCTGCTTTTCATTCTCCGCCTAAGACTTCAACTCCCAGGAATCCTCGCGTGGGAGGGGAAAAGTAGGCGTGGTCAGGAGAATTGTTTTTAAATGTGCATAAGTTCGCTTCAGATTTATTATTATTAATAATAATAATATTGTCTGCAAGGGAACCTTTTAGGGAAACAGTGGCGACATGGCAATATGAGGCACCTTCACTCTCGCCCCCCCCCCGTCCATTTAACAACCGTTTGAAAGAGTGAGCACGAGCGTGAGGGGGCGGAGACGACTCTTCCCCAAATCAGCCAATCCTCAGTCGAGCTCACCCCCCCTCACGGCGGGGCTTATGCGTAAACTGGGTACGGAGACCCGGCTCGGCCAATAGAAAACCGCCTTGTAGGTGGGCGGCGCCCAACCCAACGTTCGGAAACAAGCCGGTGAACCATGGAGACGCGCGCGAGAGGCAAACAGAAAGTGAGGAGCAGCGCCCCGGTGACGTCGCCGCCCGCCCCGCCCCCCAAGGAGGCACGCACCAATAGGAGGCCGGCATCCCGGAGCATGAGCTTAGCGTCTGCCCACCCCGCCCCCCGGTGCGTCAGGGCAGCCAATGGGAAGTGGGCAGGGAGCGGACGCTCGCTTTTTTGAATTGGTGTGTGCGTCGCGGCAGGTCGCGGAATGGCGGCTTCCCTCTGAGCGGAGAGAGGCCTTGAGTCGCCCTGGAGGGTGAGGCGGAGGAGGGCGGAGCCTGTGGGAGGAGGCCGGGGGCTCCGGGGGGTTAGTGAATGGGGGGGGGGCGACTGAGAAGGGGGAGTTGGGCGAGTGTGGCTCACGAAGGGGAGAGTTGGGCAACGGTAGCAGGTGGAGAGGGATGGGGAAGCCAGCTGGCTGAGAAATGGGAAGAAGGCCTCGAGTGGCGGCGGTGGTCGCGGTTGCAAGGGCAGCGAAGGGGGCTTGGTTTTAGTAACGCCCCCACCCAAAAAGGAAGAATTAAGAGGCAAATCTGTTCTAGAGTCTGCCTGGAAGTCGCTCTTTTCCATCTCTGTCCCCGCCACTCCAAACCCAGGCATATAGAGACTGGCCAGGGGTGAAAGAAATGCACTCTGTACTTGCTCAGAGGTGTCACCTTTTTTGCATTTTATTTGTTTACATTCAGGGCCTAAGCTCGGAATGGGGAAAAAAGACGGATGAGCCTTAGCGTGTGTATTATAATAAGGGGTCTGTTAAGGAAAATGGAAGTTTATTATTTTATATATGTATAGGAAAGTCTTGGGTGTGTGTGCCTCTTGTTTTGCAAACTTCATCTCGGCACCTACCTGGAAAGGCAGGGTTTAGGCATTGTGGTGCCGTCTAGATGTTGCGGACAGCAACTCCCATCGTCCCTTACCAATGTCCATGTTGACTGGAGCCGATGGGAAGTGTAGTGCAATGTTGGCTACCCTTTGTAAGGTGTAGCACAAATGCGATTTCACCTGTGCCTCTGTTTCACCCTTACGTCCAACGCTGTCCTGTACCTAAGCCAAAGTACATGGAACTGAAACAGTCAGAAACTTCACTTGTTTACTGCTGCCTCTATCCTCACCCTTTCCTCCTGTTATTCCCCTTGTTTCTATTTCTGGATTATATGGATTTTGGCTAAGGAACTTTCAGGTCTGCACATTGGAAAGGACCATGTTCATAGGTAGTGTTAAATAAAAAAATATATATATTTAGGCCAAGGTAAGCTCTGCTTTGCCCCAAGTGCCTGATCACATCTTAAATTTTTAGTTGCATGTTAAAAATTTCTAAGGTGTCCAAATGTGTAGATTATTTTGCTAGGTCAGTCCAAAGGTCTGTGTAATCCAGTACTGTTTCCAGCACATCCAATATGCCCTTGTGGAACTCACCCGCAGGGTATAATGGTGATATCTGTACCCTATTTATCCCCAGCATCGGGGAATTGGAGAGAGGCCGGAACAGCTGCCCTGTGAGAAAAGTTGGGGCTATTTAGTTTAGAAAAAAGAAAAGCAGGCAGGGGGACATACAGGTGTATAGAATTAGGCGGTGTCTGGAGAAAGTGCATAGAGGGAAGTTTTTCTCTTGTAATACAGAATTTGATCTTATCAAAAGAAGTTGAAGGGTGGGAAGTCCAGAGCAGACAAAATGAAGTATTCCACAGTGCACAGCCAAGCTTTAGAATGTGCTTCCACCAGATGTGACGACAGCTAGATTAGATTACTTTAAGAGGGGAACAGACAAATTTATATAAGGATATCAGTGGGTGTGTTTGCATGTCATGCTAAGCTATGATTTACTGTGAACATGCTGATCACGTCTGCATTAATTGTCCCTTCTGACAGGCAGGAGCAACAAACCAGGATCCTTGGCTTAGTGTTGTGGCTGAAACAGAATTACAGTAGTAGTTTCTTTAGCTCCAAGCAAACCAGGATCTGAAGCCAAGGTCTGTTCTTGGCTTACCTGTTGTGCTTTGTTTGAATCATGATCCCAAGGCATGTACTGTGCATAGTTGCCCCTGCTGACCTCTGGAGTGAAGCAGGAGTGATCTGCGTTTACTATGACTTCTGAATGCAGCCATGCCTCTGAATGCCAGTCACCGGGGAACAACAGTGGGAGAGGGTTATTGTGCTAATGTCCTTCTTGTAGGCTTTCAAGAAGTATTTGGTTGGTTACTGGCAAATAGGATGCTGGACTAGATATGCCTTTGGTCTGATCCAGAAGGGATTATCTTCTGTTCTTACAAGGTGTTCTAAAATAAGAGGAAGTCCTTAAATCACTACTGTACTTTGTAATATTGAATGGAACCTTGCTTTTGAGTTTCGCTTTAGGGATCTGGCAATCCTGCTCTGCGCCACAATTACAATTTGTTAGTAATGGTTGTCACCTAATGTCAACACATTCTTTATTGTGTGTATAGGTGTTATAAAACAGGTCAGATGGAAAAACATCACACTGGAGTGCTATTGATTTATAGATGTGTTTTGAGTAAGGATGAAGTAATGATACTTAAAATACAGATTTTTTTGGGGGGGGAATCATGTGATACAACAGATTAGATTTATTTCAGATGCATGCTTAAATTCTTGATTCCATCTTCTATAAAATGTGTTGTTGCAGGACCTGAAACTTTGGGATGTGGTGGGCAGGGTTTATGAGCTGAACTATCAGAGATGGAGCATGTGTGCATTTTCATCTGCCCACATGAAGCTCTGATCTTTCATGTTGGGTACTGCCTCACTTTGTTCCATTGTTCACTGATCTAGTGAATAAGTCATTGGTAACTGCTGGGGGAAAAACTGATTGCATATTAAGACTTCATGTTGCAACACTAATGCTTGGCATCTTCAGTCATGTGCTTCCTCACATGATTCCTTCCCGTACCAGCACTGCAAGTGCAGCAGGTCGCTGACCCAACTGTGGGAAATGACCACGTGAGCCCAAAGTTCATGGACAGCTAATGTATTGGGCCCACCTAGTGCTTGCTTCTTGCTTTCTTTTTGATTTCTAAAAATTTGAAGAGCTGTCTTATTCTTCTTCTTATTAAATAAAAAGCATATGCAGCAGCTTTCAATTCATGCTGGTTGTGCACTTGTTCCTCTTTGATTGGATATCTGCCTCAACACTCAGTGTTTAGCAAAACTCTGTAGATTACAATACTGCTCAAGGCATTTGCACTCATCTAAAATTAGGCGTGTTGGGCAGGGCAGCACGTACTTTGTGTAGATGATTCCATCTGTTCTGTGCTGAAATTATTCTGGAGCTAACAAAGGATATGCAGGGACAATTGTAAACCTGGGGTGGTCTTAACTTGTCTTGCATAGTCGATTCCCCCTTTTATTGTAGTCTATTGAGATGTTAAATGTTCTGAACACTACAAGCCTATCTAATATTCTAATCTGTGTTAAGCTGTTTTCAGTATGCATTCAAATTCAAAGTGCCTTGCTGGTTCAGATCAAGATCCAGTATTTGCACAAGAATCACAGTAACCAGCTAGGTGGTTCATTGGAAATTGGCCCATGCCTTCTGCTCCACCTGTCATCACACTACTATCACAGAGTATAGTTTATCTCATCTGCTCATATTTTGCCTTAGCTGTGTGTTCCTGTGTGTTTTGCCATTCACTCTCTTATGACAGTGTCCTTTAAAAAACAACAACATTCCAGCCCCACCCCATAACAGCTGTGAAGTTGTGGGTACAGTTGCATAATAAAAGGTGGCATATGAAATGTGAAAGTTAAGCAAAGCTTAGAAATCAGAAAGAGGGCTACTGTATGAGCATTTGATGGAGTGGCTGCAGAAGAAGCTGTAGATGCAACACCTTGAAGTTTATGTAGAGTCTTCTTAAGTAACGGGGAGAGATATTTTAGCAGTTGTTCTGAAGTTACTAAAAGGGAGTAAGACAGACAGGAAGGCATACAAGACAGACTTTCAGTTGTCTGGGCTTCATCATACAAAATAAATAGTCAGATCTTATGTAATGAAGGATAATTTCTCTACACTCGGGACAAGCTTGAAATACAGGCCTCCTCCCTTGAGACTTGACAGTTTAGAGAAAATGAGAGGCTTACTATTTCTCAGATTTTTTTTCCTGTTCAAAATGTTGGTCTTTAATTGCTTCTACGTACTTAATTTGATAATGTGAAAAGAGGTCTGTTTATATGATGTATACAGAATTCATATAGTTAAACACAGCCAGTTACGTTGTGGGTGTT